TGATCTAAAGTTGCAATCGTGGCTTCTTAAATACCCAAGGAGTATGTGCGGTGACTGCGAGAAAGAGTATTTGGGTCAGTCTAAATGCCAATTTGGTACACAGATAAAAGAACACCAAAAGGCTGTTTCAACTTTAGACAAGGGGAAATCAGCAGAACATGTATGTTACACAAACACAAGATTGCCTGGGAAAACTCTAAAGTAATTGCCACAAACAATTGCTATGGTCAAAGACTTTTGCTCGGAAGCGTGGCATATAAATACGAGTAATTGTGCTTTGAATAGGGATGACGGTGCCTATTTGCTGGAGGAATACATTCATCTCATTGGCAGGTGACGTCATCCCTTGGGTATTAAAAAAGCCATGATTGCAACTTTAGATCACCCCTGATGAAGACACTAGACTGGAGTGTCGAATCTTGATTACAATTTGACTGGACTTTGTAATTATTTATTTAAACCAGAGTAGTGAGTGAAACATGATTGATATACCTGGTTGCAGTGAATGAACAAACTTTAGAACAAATAAATTTGTAACATAACACATGCATATCCTAAGAAAATTAACTTTATCGAATAAATGTACAAAACCTGTAAATTTTCTTTTTAATTAATGTGTTTTATTTCACATCGACCTGATGTTACTTTAAATTAATTTAAATAAGCAGTTTTATCACCACAACTCACTACACAAGCCTTAATTAGACTTGTATTTAATATTTTAAAATTACCTATTACTAAGGGTTACTATCACAAGGAAAGTGCTGCTTTGGATCCACTGGCAAATACTAAAATGTCAAATATATTAAATGCAAAATTCTTTTCATTTGGCTTAAAATACATTTACATGTACCTGTACAAAGAAACACTGTATGCATGATTTATTTCTTTGGCAAAATTGATATTACAACACTTTAAAAACTGACTGTACAAAAACAATTTAAAGTTTACAAACTAACATATTCAACATATAAAAATTAAAAGAAGAGAATGAAGAAAGAGACATGTAGACTTAATGCACAACACATAGACAGAAATGACAATGAGCATAAAAGCACACAAGCACTGACACAGACAGGCATGGAATTTGAATAAACATGCCCTGTGGCAGGGGCAATTGCGCACCAAATCAAGCACCATTTCTTGAAAGAAATAACAGACAAGCACACAATTTGAATGAACATGCTGTGTGGCAGGGGCAATTGCGCACCAAATCAGCACCATTCCTTGAAAGAAGTATCACTGGAAAACGTGGACTTCTTTACATAGAACGTTCCAGGGTTTGACAGTACGATCTTAAAGAATGAGGATTGAAAAGTACATGTAGTACAACACTAACAACCTGACTAGGTTGTGTACGACCATGTTCAACAAAAGAAACATGAGTCATAACTGTTTATGTTAATGTCAATATGGGTCCATTTCATTTAATATCCCCCTCCCCCGCATGTATGGATGACGTCAGTAAAATTTTAACCCCCAAGAAAAAAGATCAAAATGCTGACACAACCCCCTCAGAAATTTACAAATTTTTCCCAATACCCCTCAGAAAAATCGCAGAGATCAAAGGATACTGACAGGCTAATCCCTCAGAAACAACTTTAGTAGTCACCCTTCGGAAATATTCATCCATACAGGGGGGGGGGCGGACATTAAATGGAATGGCCCATAGCCATAAAGTGTCTGGCCTGAAACTTTGATCTCTGATGTAACAGAGGGGTAGAAGTTCAAATGTCAATCTCTTTATATGTCATTTCTCAACAATCCATTTCTGTGTGATATTCCAGCTATTACATGTGTACTTTTTTAAAGTAACAATCCATAGAATATATTGACCTGTCAGGATGGCACAACTTGTTGGTGTAATCAGTACGTAAATTCCAATGACTTTGTGTCTGTGTTATGCCTCAATGGGCCCCAACCACTGGTTGCAACACAATGGACGGTCCATAGACATATTTAGGTAGTTTGACATTTTAGACATTTTACAGTCTTTACAGAGATTTGTTTGTCTGGAGGCAAACCAGCCCCATTACCAAACTTGACAGCTTGCTTTACTGAGGCAAATTTCATCTCTGTTTACATGGGATTTATATAACCTGTGCCCATGCAGACCTTCATTTTTCTCACAGCTGGCGGGCAAAGAAAAATGAAGACCTGATAAAGTCGCATGTTATTAAATGTTTGTGTCCTACAACTGCCTTTATGGTTGTAACTCTGATTGCCGGCTACTTCTAGCATGAGTATTCATGCCATATTTAATGTATTTTTTTGATATTTTGGTTAGTGCTATATATAATTAAATAATGATAGATTAAATAGTGATTGTAACTATATTTAGCTTGTTGTTAAATTATGTGAAATAATTTGCCATTTCGCCTGCCACATTTTGATTGGATACCGGTACTAAAAATAAAACTTTGGTGTGGGTCAAGACTTGCATCAGGCTCTGTACAGTATGTAATTACAATGCATAATAATATTGCAGGTTAATTAACCCATTGAGTCGCATTGCACCCTGATGCACCCTACTTTAGTATTTTACACTGTCTAACGCCAGACGATTTTACTCGTCAAGGGGAGAGCGCTGGCGCTTAATGGGTTAATGAGCTGGATTTCTAATAGTGATGCAATATTGGTTAGAAAACATTACATTTCATTTTATATGGAAATGAGCTGGCATGCCTCATGATAAGAGTATAATTGCTTTGCATTGCCTGAGTTATTGGGCAATTACTGTACACTGGATATTTTGCAAACAAAGACCATTACCTGGGCGTGCTCGCCTACCATAGTTTGGTACATATGCTTTGTTGGTGCAAATATAATTTTATATAAGCTGTATATGTCATTCTGTTGACTTTAATCTTAGAATGATAAAATGATGGACGTTATAAATACTGTATATAACTGCATGTAACTGGTGTATATAGGTTATAATTATGAAATTTGCTCACAAAAGTGGTATAGATTTAATTAAATTATATATCTTTGTAGTGCTTAATTCTCCCAATACTATGTTTTGGATAGCCAGCATGGCTCTCTGAGGATTACCATTGATAAGTGTACGGATATATTTGACGAAGATGTGCATTTATATAGTAACACAGGGAAAATATTGATCAATACTACTGCACAGCGATTTAAAGTTTGGGGTCATGTGTACTATAGTTATACTTATAGAATTTTAAAACTCAGTGCTTTTTGTGTGTTAGTTTTACTGGTTTCCTGGTGACAGGGCACTATTCTCAGTAATTTAGTGTGTGGGCTAGTCACCATGCAAATATGCAATTCACATCAAAGGCATCTATTGCTAGGGGTGAATAAAGTTGACATACTGATGCCAACAACACTGTCCACACAGAGTAAGGTTAGCAGCATAAGACAGAGTTGTATATAAATAAGTTTACCAACTAGAGCACAAAATACCTTTATGCATCATTCTAATGCTAAAAAATTTTACTCATGGAACATTTCAAATTAGTGGAAATGAATAAGCCTCAGGGAAGGTGGTTAAGAAACCTAATAACACTGTCTTTTGAGTCCAACATTGCAACTAGTGGATCACACTGTATACACCTTTGTTACACGTATGTGTGTATTTGCATTGTCGTGATTTTTTGCCGAAATGTTTTTCAATAGAAAAGTTAAGGCTACAAGAAGCACAGTAGTAAGTACTGACTATTTTTTAATAGAGACTTATGCACCGCTGCTGCTATTACACTTGTACAAGCAAATATTTTTTCTTATATGGAAAAATTATGTTGTTTTTGCGATATAGGTTCAAGTTTTTTACGTGCTTTCCAAAAATGCAGCAAATAATTTTGTGACTCTGATGTATGAATTGGAACAAAAGAGTTTGCTCAGAACACAGGAAATCGCATTTCCGAGGTTCTAGATTTCAAAATTTCCCGGGGGAGGATACCCCCGGACCCCCCAACAAATGCGAGTTCTTATGTATGCATCAGTCAGCTCAGGAGCTGGATCCACCCCCTGTATTTTACTACTAAGCCTAAGGTTCCATGACCACATGTTATCTGAAGTAACATAATTTGAAATGGAAATTAAATAGACAATCTATATATACAGTTCACTGGATATTATAAACAGTTCACTGACACTGGGATTGAGTTGATATTTGAGGATGATTGAATGAATATAATACTGTGCAGTTCTATTCAGTATTCAAGATATTTTGCATATGAAGAATAAAATACAAAATAAATGCAGATTAATCTGTATATTAGCAATCGTGATCAACTATTTAGGCTCAATACGTAAATGCAAAATAAATGTAGATGAATGACGAAAACGTGCAAGGTATGGTTAGGCCAAAAAAAAAAAATAGTTGGTTTCAGGTTTCACAGCCATGTTTTATATGGGTAGGTAGGTCGGAAAAACATTTTATTTTAAAAAAATATTTTATCTCAAGTATGCAATAAATGTAAGTTAAAACGCATTATAAACTCTTAGTTTTTATTGTTTTTACATCAGGTTTTCACCTGCATAGATATAAAACTTGACATGCAAGGGAACGAACAACAACTAAATATCGTTTAAATTCCTGACATCTTCACTACTTCTTGCCAAATGGTCTAGCAGTTATGGGCAGAAGCCCATTTTTTATGCAATCTGCACACATAGGCAAAACTGTTTTGAATTTTTCCTTTAAAGCATTGTTTTGGGTTGCACCCGTTCTGCCACAATGGCAACAAATATCAGCCCTGGAAATGTCAGCTTGGAACTGTAGTATGCCAACTCTACAGGATCACCGCAATTTACTGACAGCTTGACATCCACACTTTTGTGCAGGGGCTTATCCGGCGGCAGGATATGCCCACCGCATGTGTATCTTCCAATCCAGTGAGAATGGTTATCTGCTGTCATTCAGATCATCTGTTTTTACTAAAGATTAGTCTTGGTTTCCCACACTCTGCACAATCAACTGTCATTCTTGCATGCTGAGCTGTAAAATTTGAAGGTTTTTTTCATTGTTCCTCCTAATAAATGGTAAAGTAGATACAGTACATCTCAATTAGCTTTGTAGATGGTCTGTTCAAGTCTGTGGTGTCCGTGTCAATCACAGCTTCCAGTGGAAGATAATGATCTCCTTCTTTGTTGATAACTGGTCCGGCAACCATCTTAAGTCCTCTGCAAGCTTTGCTGAACAGCAATTAATGACATCACATTAATTTATCATCACATTATTTCATCTTTGCCAGTTAACTTAGATGGATCTTTCATTCCAGCACTGTAAAAAGCAAATACAGTTATATTGCTCAAAAATACAAGTGAACCATGTTCATGAATTTTAACTAATGATAATAATTTAGATTAGCATGAATAATGAATATTTATTAACAGCATATCCATGCAAATTTTATATTCACTCACCTGGCAAATGTGCGCTTAGGAGGCAGTCTCTTCCTGTACCCCTGCAGAACGTCTCTGTAATCTCTCAGTGGCTTTTCCCGGTTATATTCAAACGTACGTAAACTTTCAAGCGTGAGTTTCACAGCTTTTTCACCCGTATACGTAAGGGAATTAAACTGGCTAAAAGTTAACGTTGAGTTGATATCTATATTCGTCCAAGGACCTTTACCAATATTCATCGCGTCATTCGATGTTGCCGCTGAAATGGGCACACAGCAACATACCCTAGCTATCATTATATTCCCACAATATGTCCTTTATTTGTTTCCCGTCGTTCAAGGTTATATATGCCCTGGATTCAGGCTTATGGCTACATTTTGAAATAACAAAAACAATCGGCGATGCCGGACTTTCTCGCGCCGCCATTGTTTATGAGTAACTGTCATGCGTGATCAAATGTGCCACACGGGATCACCCACGAGCTACATGTGTTTCGCGAGAAACAAACGCATCAAGGCGTTTTCGTCTTTTTTCTGCCATGTCAGAATAATGTACGTTTTTAATATTTTATTCAACTGTTCTTTGTGTAAAACTATGATTAAGATGACTAGATAATGATTAAATTATAAGCAAACAAAATAATTTGTAGACAAATGAGTCTGATGACTATTTATATATTCTGGTATTTACGAAAAGATGATCTCTACTGGAAAATGTCAATAAAATGTTTATGGTCGGTCATATTTTTGACAGGTCGGTCGGAAACCTGAAACCAACTATTATTTTTATTTGGCCTTAAAATGTGCGAGGCATGCCTAAAACGTGCCAAATTCTTTGTTTGCAATCATGTTACTTTTCATGCAACTTAATGATTTATTTAAAGTTGTATACACAGGATATGGTTACCCAATCATTTTGCAGGGAGCTGTAAATTGTTCCATACATGCCCTACAATATAGCTATACGAATTATGCAAGTAACAGCTATTGTTTCTGGGAGCAGCTAAACAGAGAGTTATGAAGTGAAGAATTATCTTGGAGGGTTATGTTCAAACCACGCCCACTTTCCCCAACAACCGACATTTCCTTGAACTAACATGAGAGAGTTATGTTTGACGTAACTCTCTCTCGTTAACATGATGATGTTACAGAGTTATCATTTTTTATAACTCTTCCCGTTCACGTTTTGATTAAATCTGAAGAAACAAGCTTTAGTAAGTTTTCTCAAAAAACTGACACAACTCTCTTCATTGCCGCAATCGTGAACACGGAGAGATAATGTTAACAAGAGAGAGTTATGGCATAACTCTCTCATGTTAGTTCAAGGAAATGTTGGGAAATTGGGTGTGGTCGTTGGGTAAAGTGGGCGTGGTTTGGGCGTAGTTCGAACATAACTCTCCGAAATCATAACTCTCCAAGATAATGCTCTGGTTGGTAACTCTCCCTTTAGTCATACTTGTAGGTAGATTTAAGTCTTTTAAAAAAGTCAGATATATAAACAGGACCTTCATTTCTAAAACTCTTGAAGAATAAAATTAAAGATTGTTTAAGTCTCCTATGTTGGAGTGATCGCATTCATACTAGTTCTAAAAGTTCGTCATAGGTGATATTGTTACGCAAGTTCATTACACCATAGCAATTAGCTTTTTCAAGTTTCTTGCACAATGTTTTCTACACTCCAATAAGTAGTTGAGAACAGTATTCCATATTAGGTAAAACATATGCTTTGTACAAACTTGTTATAATATTTATCGGAACCATTCTCGTAAGGCATTGTAGGGCAGCAATCATTCCATAGGATTTCTTTAATATCTCGTCAATATGCTGCTTGAAATCTAAATTACTGTCCAGTGTCACTCCAAGTGTTCTCAAAGATTCATGAATTTCTATTGGCTGGTTGTCAATTTTAAGGTTGTAGGAATGGTCAGATTTCCCTAAAATCATTGCTTTTGTTTTGCCATTGTTGATTTGCAAAAAGTTTTCTTTGAACCAATAGGATAATTTCTGTAGATCATGGTTAAACGAGTACTCTAATATGGCAGGACATATATCAGGTGAGTACTGGGTGGTGTCATCTGCATAAAGACAGAGTGATGTGTTATTGACATACCAGTTAAGATAATTGATGTAAATAGTAAGGGCCCCAATAAGCTCCCTTCAGGGACACCACATTTTAAGGTCAGCCAATCTGAGAAGACTCTATTACATTTTACCCTCTGGCTCTGTTTAAATAAATAAGATTTCATTAACATCAACATGTTGTCCAGCAGACTGTAAGCCTTTAGCTTTGAAATCAATAAATTGTGGCATATGGAGTCAAATGCTTTCTACAAATCAATTGCCACAACACCCACATCCTTCTTTTGATCAAGAGCTTTTCTAAAGTCGTCTGTCAGCTTAATAAGTGCCGTTGCACACAAATGACCACGAAGAAAACCTAGCATGTTATTGGAAAATATTGAAGAGAAATGTTTGTATAACTGATCGGATTGAACTTTCTCAAACAGCTTTGGAATGCATGATAAGATGGTGATCGGTCTATATTTTAATGACGTCATCTTTTTTTGTGAACAGGGGTGACATCTTGTTTCCATGCACTCGGCCAGGTACTTTTATCAATACAATAATTAAATAGATTAGTGAGTGGCAAGGCAATTGCAGGAGCTGAGGCTTTAGGTAACTTTGGTTGATAACCATCAGGGGCCGGTTGTATAAAACTCTTAATCACTTTTTTAATCACTATTTTGTAGTTAAATAGTGATTAACTTTCAAATAGGCGTTTCTTATTGGATGACGTGTCCACTTAATCATAGTTAACTTTAATCACTCTTTTATACAACCGGCCCCAGGCCCACTAGCTTTCTTTTCATTTAAGTTTAATATGTTGCTAACAAGCTCCATGTTAATTTGCAGGAATGAGAAATACAAATCATGACATTGTTCCTTGATTGCCTGTACACTAACATGATTCTCAAAAATTTGTTCAGTAAATTTTAAGATTGTTTCTTCAACAGACAGGGCCGTAAAATAGTTATTGAATACTCAACTAGGATCTGTAATAATTAACCCATTCTCAATAAGTTGTATTGTCGTTCTGTCATTACTAGATTTATTGGTTGGTAAAAGTGGTTTCATTTTTTCCAAAATAAACCAGTTGACGACTTGTTGCTTGACTGCTTTTCTTTTCATGTTTGTGACCAAATTATGCTGGGTTTTATACTTAGCCCAGTTTTCCTCTGAGGAGATTTTTCTGAACTTCCTGCATAGACAGTTTCTTAGTCGAATTTGGTTTTGGATATCTGCATTAATCCAGGGTAATTGATCACTTCTCAGTCGGACCTGCTTCAGTGATTGTGAAGCACTTGCTTAAACAATGATGACCAGTGAAGCCAAACATCATCTACATCATCATACACATGGGAACTGTCCCATGGTACATTCTTGAGATCCGAGATAAAAGCAGACCGATTAAAGTTTTTTAATGACCGAAATTCAATTAGCCTTGCTTTAGGTTTTGGTAGTTTTTGTTTCTGAACGAGGTACACAAGGTCATGGTCATTTATTCCGAACCTTTACTTGTATTTGTCACTCTGGCGGGATTGAGGATCATATTAGTTAAGCAGAATTGATCACAAAATAAATATAATTGCCCATAAATATAATTTCCCTTCGCTTAGCATACAACCATTCAGCTGCAGCTGAGCAAGAGGAGACAAAGTCTGTTATTTTGCATTTTCCTTGTGACCGATAGCATATACAGAGTAAAAACCAATTTCCCCCACAGCCTTCAATATCGATACATATTGCTTCAATAACCTCTGGCTCAAGTTTAATTTGACGCTGTGCAGTAACATTTGAGCATATGTAGACAAGTAAGCCACCAGGTCTTTCCTTTTTTTTGTCCTGTCTAATTATACGATAGTCTGAATGTGTTAGTAACAAATTAGACACCGAGGCATCGATCTTGGTTTTACTAATGTCATTGATATCAAACTTACAATAGTTTAGTAAATTAAAAACTTCACTGACTTTAGAGTATATACTGTTGACATTTAAAATGACCAATCTTCAGGTTGTTTTTATAATAATCATTTATGTTCATATTGAACCACTCAGTGCCCAACAATGTTGAGGTCGTATTATGCACAACATTAGTGCCATATTCATTTTCTTTGAGTACTTGTGAGTCTTCGAAGAACGAGTCGGAAGGGTTACATATTGAGCAATTAATACAAGACCAACCTGCATCTGGATTGTTTAAATAACACAAATCAAATATAGTGTTAGACATACTTATACACTTCACATGATACCAATAGTTGCAATGCACACATAGTATTCCTTTCCGGTTTTTTCTTACCGGTTTTCGGCAATCACCACAAGGAAATTTCCAACATGGCCGGCTTCTTTCTCCCCTTGCATCATTTGGACCAGGATTTAATTCAACGTCACCACATGGAAGCATTAATCTGAATGTTTTCAGTGAGTTCGGATAGTATAGCTTAGAGCCTCCAATATATCTACATTGTTTCTTCACAATAGGACTAACCAGTGATAGCATTGTGCTATTCTTGCCGAGATCATATCTACATGTTTCAGACTTGCTTTTAAAATATTCTGGCATAAACACTCTTGATTGATCTATATCATTTCTCTGGGCCTGTGCATTATTACAAGTATTGGTACAGGTTTTACCACTGTCAAGCTGAATAAGTAGTGCCAAAGTAACAAGAATAAAATTATTATAGGCAGAGGACTTGAACACCCATTCAACCACCATGACACGTATTAACCTCTCTGACAAGCACATGACGGGTGGACAATTTTCCTCCTATCAGAATGGTTGTAGAAATAAAAGAAAAACTGAGCGGTAATTCATCTTTTGAGTCTTAAAAATCCCAAAATTATGTCATTGCAAACAAAGAATAAATTAGTTGCCTAAAATTTTCATATAACCTTGAAACTAATATTAATTTAATTAATAACCAGTTTGGTTTAAGTTTTGTACATTTTGTACAGTCAAACAAACATTTTTACTATAATAACATGAATAAAATATAAATAGCAATTGTGAAATAGATAGTTTCCAATGAAGATTGAATTGTATTTCCCTCCTCTCTAAATGGGTAAATAATAAATTCAACAATTGTCACGCCCCCAGTATTAGTAACAGTGCTCTCAAGCACAAACTCTCGAATATGGAGAGTTTTATAAGTAATCTCTTTTAGAGTGTACCAATAAGTGCTCTTTGTGCCGCCAAACTTAAATTTTTGTCAAATTCAAGTGTCATTGATCCCGGAGAATATGGAAGAATGAACAAGTTACACAGCTGCTTCGCAATGCAACTTAATTTGGGACAGAAAAAAAGTTGTGTTAAATCCAGTGATGCATTATCGTTCTGTACGGCCCTTCTGTTGCTATCTGCAAGTCGCCAGATAAAGATTGGAAGTAATTTATACATTTTGGTTTTACACATTAATGATTGAGTTAAACAAGGCGATAGCTGAGTTTTTCAACCAACTTCGAGGTGCTTTCAAATCAGGTAATAAACAGATTCTAGTGTATGATATAATAGCTTCTCAAACAAATCAGTATTTTAAGAGAAATTTGAGGTGAAAGTTGGCTTAATTTATGGACATTTATTATCAGTTTGCCAAACAGGTTATGATTTTCTTTGTGTTTTCCTCATGAATTATTAATGAGTTTGAGAGTGGTATTTCTTATTCTGGTTAGGACTGAACTATTAGTTTAAGAACTCCCATGTTCATGTTGTAAACTGTCATTATGTATTCACATAAAATATTTTTACTTGCAACACCGTTCTTGCCTCTCGTTTCTTTCGCCTCACATAGCATCTGGAACCAGGCTACCCCTAGGGGTCCCCCCCTTGTTAATCATGTCAATTGACAATTATGAATTATGATTTTGCAGATTGCAAAATCATAACCTATCGGTAATCTGCCTTGATTACTATGATTGTACCATTTAATGATATTTCATGTGGTTCCAACAAAATAGCTTCTGTATATCAGAATGTTTTAATTGCTAGAACCAAAAATGAATACTGGAACTATCCATATTTATCATGTTGCACGCTCAACGCCTTGTCATCCCCCCCCCCTTTGAGGGCCCTCTGTGCTGGCGATTCAGTTCTACACCACTGACTGCAAATATAGAGTTATGTAAAATTTCAATTTTAACTCATTGTCATCCGGTCGAAATGTAGCAATTTTGAGCAGTGTTGTTTTAAGCTCAAATATCTTTCAAACTATACATCGTATGGAAACAGAAATTGTATCATTCAAAAGAGGAGAACTTCCACTTTTCAACAATACCAGTTTAAATCACTGAGCTATAACTATATTACTGGAGGACCTGCTTGACATCAAAAAGTGTCGCCAAAAAATGGCGGATTTCGGCCTTTGCTGATGCCAGAATGATGTCATATGGTTCCCCCTGCTCATGGTAATTACCACTGACCAGGCTCAATTTTGAGCCCGCAACGACTTTCACCCGCCCCCCTAGTTCTTATTAAAAAATTAACCAATGAAAATAGAGAATTTTGACCAAGCTAAAGCAACCAACCAATCAAAATGCTTGAAGTGGGCAAGAAAGCTTTGCGCGAAACAACAAAAGTCGCAGCTTGTTAAGACAAAGCAAGAGGCAAGTACAAATAAAGTCAAGGTCAATATTATATTTGGCAAATTAAGTTTAGAATATGAAAAAGAGGGTGTGTCGGCATCACTGCAAATGTTGTGGTATAAATTTTGAAACTTCTGAAAGATTCTCAATTCATTTGGCGTCAAGAGCACATTTCATGCAAGGACTACAAACACCGGCTGATGACATCCAACTGGTATCAGACAACAACATCACACTCTTTGTAGACGCAGAGGGATTTCAGGATAGATCGTTGGTCCCGGACACAACAGAACAGAATCTTGTTGGTCTTGAATCACCGTCAGATGAGGAAAACCCCATGGATATGGATGGATTTTCAGACACTTCCGATGCCGAAGTTGATGGCAAAATAAGTTTGACAACATGCAGAAATCAGGAACATGCATACTTTCCTTTTCCCGCAGAGATTTTTTTCCTACTTTATAGTTATGCACATAATATTTCAAGACCCAAGGTAATTATATACTACACAATTTTATTTAAAATTATTTATTACTCGAGAAAACAAAAAAACTGTATTTCACGTTTATCAGCTTGTTGCAATCTGTTTACTGAACAACGTCTGAACAATACTGTTATCAAGATTGAACAAAATTGTTTAAAATGACAGTTACATTGAATACCAAAACGCAGTATAATTTCCTTTTTTCCGCATTTCTACGAATATAATAAGCGGCTAATATTTATTTTCACCCAAGTTTTTTAAGTTTGATTTATTATTTCATGTGCAAAATTTATTTGGGCCAGCTGGAATACCATGTACACTTGACTCGCATTTAAAATTCCTCTTAAATATATGTTATTAATCCAACGAGTGCTCTGTACAGAAGGATACTGCAAGGTATCATTCTTTTTTGCCTTGTTTATGGACCGAGCCATCGGCGAGTAAAAAAAATAGACCGTGCAGCTGCTCCTGTATGGACCACTCATTCAGTCAATAAGCTATTTATTATATGACTGAAGTAAAAACAAAAATTCAAATTGTATCCAGGAATTATATTAACGTAACAGAACTTTGTCAATAAAGCCAGTAGATGGTTAATTAATTTAAGAACAGTGAATGACTTGTTCTTTACAATGTTATTGGTTAACAAAAAAAGAACAAATGTTCAAGCATGTTTTCAATTTATTCACCTTTGCTGACAACTCGGGAACCAATCAGATCAATGCTCTATTCTAGCAACAACTGAAAACTCATCAGACCTTCTTGTTTAACTTTTATCGCATTGGGCTTTTGGTGCCCTCTCCAACCTCCAGCCTTCTGCCCCATATTTTTTTGAATATAAACAGGATTTAATATTTTGTATTTAATATTAATACATAAATTTTTCTTATCCGCCGTGCAAAATGTAACTTTTAATATAGACATGTACAGACCTGGAGTTCCTCTGGATGATATCTGAGAAAATCGGCGTGGATGTGCCTTCTCTGAATTCAATACTGAATTTTACAATTGAAGGAGTAGACAAGATGTTACAGCCTCAAAAGGTATTCTATGACAAACTCTTAGGCTACGTGCACACGGTTTTGTTTTTGAGCGTTTTTGAATGTATTTTTTAATATCACTTTATCGTCTTGATACCATCTTTCCACATAATATCAAATGTAGATGAATGGCAGCAAAATATCAATTTGCTGCCATTCATCCCGACAATGGATCTTATATGCATAATGATGTCACAGGGGTGATACGTGCTGGGGCAGGGAACTTTGCTTGTTTTTAAAAGTTTCCTGTTGTGACTACCAATAACAGAATTTCCTGCACACATCACTCCTTGTGACGTCATTATGCATAATGTATATTGACGTTGTCTTCATTATTTTTTTAGTGAAAACACAAATTATCTTTAGGTAAAAATGAATCTTGAAATCTGAAAATGAATATTGAACTATGTTAGGACTAGTATAATGGCAACCCGTACTACAGGCTCCGACCATCCGATTTTGTTCGCCTCCAGTTGGCTATACCAGAAAAAGTGAAATCTCTTGCTCGCTATCCAGAAGAGACAGACGATTATGTTTATGAAATGAATCAGGTTAGAATAAAAGTTGCTGTGTTTGATTCTGTCTAAGTTATTATTATATGACGGAATTTTTACTGCAACTTGCGTTACAAGTTGTATAAAGAGTTGTATTTACGACGACGACCCCTTTAATAAATAAGTTTTGTTTAAATGTACTTATTGTTTTTGAAATAGGGAATAAAGTGGTTGAATGATAAAGAATTTCAAACTTCTTCTATTACTCTTGAAGGAAAACATTACTACATCAATGACATTGTACAGTTCTCTCACAATGGAGACCTTTTCATGGAAAGTTGATGAAGTTCTACACAAAAGTAAATTAAATATATTTTAGGTAAATGCTTTCCATAGCTACATTTTTATTAGTATGCACGTTCCTTTTTCAATTAAAGGTTGTTCACAATGACACTAAAATAATGACGAAGATCCAATTCTTGTAAAACGAAGGAAACAGGCATTTTCCCATCTGTCTGGATGTTAGCGTGATGAAACCAGTGTCGAGCATACGAGGAAAAGTTCACATCAAACCTGTGCAGATAAAACACAAGTACATTAACGATCAAACTGTTGATGTGACTGAACAGGTGATATTATAAGCGGTATTTAACCACTAACACAGTCTATTTCACTAACCAAAATGTTTTGCGTATAAGAGGCAGCAGATTTCCTTGCGCCACACGTTGACAATGTGCTTGTTGGACGAAACAAAGCAACTGCTACAGTTCCTTTGCTTGTCTTCAGTGATGAAACAAGCGGGAATACAACCAAAAAGTGGAATCGCCTGGAGAATTTCTCGATGACATTTGCAGGTCTCTCCAGGAAAGAGTCAGGCGAATCGAAAACATCCACTTCTTGGCAGCATTGAATATAGTTCCATCCTTCCCACTTGAAAAATCTATCGCCACTGACCTACAAGGTAAATAGGTATCTTTAAGGGAAAAAATGTCCTTGCTATAAAATTTTATCGTATTTTTGGAAAAACAGTTTTTCTAAATACTCCCAGGAAAAAAGTATAAATTTCTTGTTACTGAAATTATATAACAATTTAATATGTCGCATATCTTATATATTTTCAGAGCTTGAGGAGGGTATGATGTACGACGCACAATTCGACAATGACATTTTGGTCAAGTCCCCTGTATTGTGCGTCCTGGCAGATAATCAGCAGGCATCTGAATTTCAGCATCATTTGGGCAGCTGTGCAAAAAAATTTTGTAGAAAGTGCAAAGTGAGATATCAATATCAGTGGCATAGGAAGAATGAAAATTCGGAGGGGGGGGGGACATATTCGTATATTCGTGTTCTGCATCATTAATTTCTTTTGAAATCGTTTGATTAACATCTGTGAACACGAATATATGAATATTTGCCCCTCCCCCCCAATTATCAATTTTTCTACGCCAATGATCTATACACGTATATATGTTTTATATTGAAAAATACAAACCATAATGATTCTTGTTCAATTTTTAGTAAGGCAACAATGGACAACGCTACTCAAATTCAAGAGCTAAGAACGGATGAGTAAATTCAAGAAAAGGTTCAAGAAATACAAGAATGTCTGTATGTACATTTAATGTGAAACCTTCCATCGCTCAAAATTATTTGGCTTACCTTGTCATAAATTTCATTAAATTTCAAATGCATTCTCAGAAAGGAAGGGCAAAAGAATCGGCTAAACGAAGGAGCCTCGTTAACGAAGGTAAGTTTGTTTGGCAACCTTTGCCGTATATGAAACAACTAAACAAGACAGCATATAATTTTGGTGTATCTTTAATATTGATTTCCTTTTTTATTATATTGAATTTTTTAAATAAAAAAAGTAAATTTATTTGCATGCGAGAATTTGAAATCGTTTCATTGCAAACTCAAAGTTTATCAATAAAGCCATTTTAGTTTTATAAAGAACACTTTAAAACGTTTTGTGAAGCGTTTGTGGTTGAATTTTACCTTAAATTGAAGCTTACATTACGTATAATAACATACCTAACATATATATGTTGGAAAATTGATAATTTTGTAATTAAAAGTGATATTTTTAGGCGATTTTTCATTTGTAAAAATATTCTTAAATTATTGTGTTACCATGACAGCTACTTTAGATACGTCATGTTTGGAAAATACAATGGCATTGTCAGCAAGGCGAGGCCGCGGGGGTTCTGCGTGCATGTATTCCAGGGTGTCAATCTCTTCATGGGTATTAACAGGAATTCTTCAGGGGATCTCTTTTACGACAGGAATTCTTCAGGGACATGATAAAACGTTTAAAACACTTGTGCTTGATAGGGGCTGAGGGTACACATCTTTTAAATGGAATAGCCCACTGACAGTCGTTTTCAGAATGTCCAGAAATAAAAATCACTGTCAAACCTTCCAAAATCTAATTCAATAGGAACTAACACTTCAAAATATAAATATAACAAACAAACTTCAAATAAGAGTTTCATCAATTATTGACATTCTTGTTTCTTTAAATCGCTTTAAAATTGCTTGAATGTCTGATGAACATCTGTCTCAGAGTTTTCTTTGTATATTTATAAAACTTCAAGCAATTTGAAATTCACAGGTAAACAAAGAACTTTTAATATTAACATGCAAAACTACAAGGAACTTATTATATCAACTATATTATAGTTGCAGACAAAAAATTCAAGTGTGGAAAACACTATATTTTGTTTAAATATACTCTAACAAAATGATAAAACCCAATTACGACAAGATGTAGTGTTTTCCACATGTAACTCAATATTAACAACAACAAAAAAACTTGTCCAGACATAGGTTGCAACTTGTGAGATAAAATAGCTATGTAAAGTAGTCGTATGTTTACCACTTTTAAGTTGTGATACATTGTTCGTGTCCAGATTAACTAGACATTTTAGGTGTATTGAATAACAAAACTTATAATCTAAGAGAATGAATATAAACTTGATCCATAGCTAACAACAACACAGTCAAAGACTTAATTAAGTTTTTACCATATTTTCTTGAACTGTTCGTGTCCAGACATAGTTCTTACTGGCCAACTACTTTCATTTCCACAAACAACTTGTCCGTTGATATCTTGAATGAAACTTTCTTGATTAAAAGAATTCTCCGCCTCACCAGACACATTTGACCCAGTCGACTGTTGTGAAGGGCTAAGACTGGGCTCTTCCTCAACACTAACATTTTTGCTTTCTTTAGCTAGCAACGTTCCCTTAAGTACAGTTTCAGCTTTGCTAATACACTCATTTATCTCAGTTTCGAAATTGTCTAGCTCATTTGACATTGCTTTCTTACTTTCATAATTGCCCATCTTTATGTACAGAAAACAAAGTTTGTCAATAATGCTCAAAGTTTAATACCTCTAACAGTTCCCAAAGTACCTCGATATTTTTCTCAATTTCTCCAACGTTCTCCTCGATCTGCACCTTTGTAGTTGCTGTTTTCATTGCTCTTTTACCTTTTTTTAACTCCAATATCTTCGCTTCCATTTCCTTTCGATCATTTCCCGCATCTTTCGAATTGATTTCTTCGCTTAAACCGATATTTTCACCATCACTATCGCCCATATTTTCACCGTCACTATCGTCCATATTAAACTCCTCGCACGATAAATACCAATAAAATAGCCAATGTCCTGGTAGGATAGCCAAAAAATGTTCTGCAGAACTCGAAAAATAATCCCCAAATGATTAATGAAAGGAATTTAGTTTAATATAAACAAAAAATATATAAAATTATATGTACAATACATGAAAATCTCGAAAAGTGTTCGCTATCAAAAAACCAACAACACATGTTCTACCGGTATATTCCGATTCTGAAAGGAATTTAGTTTAATATAAACAAAAAATATATAAAATTATATGTACAATACATGAAAATCTCGAAAAGTGTTCGCTATCAAAAAACCAACAACACATGTTCTACCGGTATATTCCGATTCTATCTGAACAGTTCCGAACTGTCCCTTGAAAGATATCTCACACGATGTCTCCTGAACAGGACTGTCTATGCCAGAAGACCAGGACGGTGTACGTTCACTGCATTCCAAGATTGGTGATCTGTGCTACAAACAGATCCAGACCCTAGTCACATTCCCAGGGAAAAATAAATCGAACAGTTACATTCCCAACATTCACCGCATAGATGGGACGTCAATGTAAGTATACAATCCTTACTTTTTGAAAATTAAGCGAACATCATAGTTTCATAGTTATCATAGTCTTGGCAAAACCAGATATTTCACGATTTAATCTACAACTCAAAGTATACTTCTCTGGCTCTGCAGCACAATTGAAGTTTTTGATATGCTTATTTCAAAATAACAAAAACGTTAGGGATATCAATCACTGAACTTGATATGGCATGTGCAATATACCGCTATTTACTAAAAATGGAGTCATGACCAGGTAACTTACCACTTAAACTATGCAGCTGCTGTTCAACTTTTTATAAGTAGCTGCATTCTAAGAAATGAGAAAGAAAAAAAAATTGGGACACCGGCCTTTCTCGTAAGTTACATAGCAAAATGTGCAAAATTACGCAGTTTTCTAACCTTTTTGCATAGACAACTCAGACATGACTTAATTATTTTTTTCAATAAAGTGTCCAAAAACTGACGGAAGTTATATAAAAGCTGTCAATTTTTAGATCTCATGTTAAATCAATAAAAAATAACTGATATTTTGAACTTTTAATGCATGTAATCTTTTTATTATTTTTTTAATATTCAGTGCTTTTTCACATTAAAAGACTGGGACTAGGTCAGTTTGGGAATTATCAAATGCTACCCGGAAATTGACCAAACCTGCCAAAGGTACCTGCCAAAGCCAGCCGAGCAAAGACCTAGGTCTAGGCTGGGAATAACCATAACAACATGGCAAAGCAAAAAACATGTCTGCAGCTGTATTTGTTGAAAACATAGATATAGGAGACCTAGATTGCCGACTCTAATGTTTTCTATAACGCACAAGCGCGACACTCATGAGCATTCAAAATGGCGGCTCAACCGGGCAAAAATGATAGAGCGAGATAGGGAAAAAACATGTTTTTCGCATTTTGCGTCATCCTACAGCTTCCGATCCCGTTCTATCACTTTATTTTGGCAAGAACTAACTGGTGTGAAGGTTTTGGATGAATATTTGTACAATTTAAGTTTAATAAAGACGAAATAATCGATCGCTAAATGTTATCTGAAAATCATCACATAGTCGGTTGAGCAGTTCGAGACGTTTTGTTACAGAAAATAAAGGTTTTGGTTCTTTGGGTGCTTTTTTTCTCGAGGATCTCGGTTGGGATATATAGCAGGGAATAATATTGTGAAGTATTTTGAAGTTAAAACCTATTTTACTTGATTTATTTGGTCTGCTGGTGCGAAAATTCTGATGCTCTGTTTAGTGTGACTTTGACAACCTCCTTGCTGGTGCAGATGTCAAGGGATCTCAAGTCTATATGGCCTGGACAGTGAAAAGTGATGAATCAATCGGGTTTGTAGAGAGAACTAGTGACAGCGAAAGTTTTCAATGGAAACTAGTTTGAAGAAACGGACTAATTTGTCTGGTATGCATAAAAAACCTTCACAGTATCTAGTTCTCTCCAAGAAACCTGATCGATTCATCATTGATAATCAAAAATAGATGGGACGGCATGTTCGTTTAGATCTTTCTTGGATAAGTTGGATTGGCCTTTTATTGATTGCTCTCCACAATCAGCACTCTCCCCTTCAGGCACTCTCCCCTTGAGACAGCTGACTTAAGCATCAGCACTTTCCCTTGACAAGTAAAATTGTCTGGCGTTAGACAGAGTAAAATAATAAAATAGGGCACAAAACGACTCAATGGGTTAACTAGACACAGGGCAGATAGGCCAGTTAACCCATTAAGTGCCACTGCTCTCCCCTTGATGAGTAAAATTGTCTGGCATTAGACAGAGTAAAATAATAAAGTAGGGCGCATTGCAACTTGATGGGTTAATATAATCATCAGGTGTGAAGTGTTTCTCACACAAGACAGGGTTCGTACGGGTCCTGGAAAGTCATGGAATTTCAATATTCCAAAATCCAGGCCTGGAAATCCTGGAAAATCAAAATTACTTATTTCAATTTACCAGTCATAACAATAATATGAATTGCTGTTTTCAATTTACCAGTTATAACAATAATATGAATTGCTGTTATATAACAGATTTTTGCAAGAGCGAAGTGAATTTTGTTCTTTTACTATATCTGTTATCGTTAAAATATTAATGAATTTTAGAAATTCCAGACTTCCAGGTCATGGATTTTGAAAAAAATAGTCATGGGAAGTCATGGAATTTTAAATTGGAGAAAGTGTGCGAACCCTGACAAGACTGGATATTTGATTGGCATCCAGTCTGCCCTTACGAAAATTTCCTATAGGAATTCCTATAGGAAATCAAAATTCCTATAGGAATTCCTATATGAATTTCAATTCCTATAGGAATTCCTATAGGAATTGAAATTTCCTATAGGAATTCCTATAGGCATTGGAAATTCCTATAGGAATTCCTATAGGAATTAAAATTTCCTATAGGAATTCCTTTAGGCATTGAAAATTCCTATAGGAATTCCTATAGGCATTGAAAATTCCTATAGGAATTCCTATTGGCATTGGAAATTCCTATAGGAATTCCTATAGGAATTGAAAATGGTGAAAAAATTCCTATAGGAAAAAATATTCCTATAGGAATTCCTATAGGATTGGAAAATGGCTATAGGAATTCCTATAGGAAATTAAAATTCCTATAGGATTTGAAAATGATGAAAAAAATCCTATAGCAAAAAAAAATTCCTATAGGAATTCTTATAGGATTGGAAAATGGTGGGGAAAATTCATAGCCTATACCACTATGGCCTGATACATGCATGGGTATAAGAACTTTACTTATATAAAAAATTATACAGATAAATATAATTTACGAAATAACTCCTTCCTACAGCAATTTCTATTTCTTATAGGAATTTTTTCACCATTATCATATCCCATAAGAATTCTTATAGGAATTTTAATTTCTTATACAACTACACTATTCCTATATCGTATTTTACTCATAGACATTTATTAATAGAGAATTTAATACTGGGACTATTTATTTTCTAAGATTAAATGAATAATTACCGTAATGTGCGCGACTGACAGACTGGTGTCTAGTTTTCTTGCCACGCGCGCAAAGCATCAAGGGATAGATCATCACACCTCCGATATTTTTTCAAGTCAGTGTTTGTCAATGGTTTATGTGCAAAATAGAACTATTTTTGATGGGATACAACTGGATTTTCACTAGTAATACATCAGGGATGTTTGCATAATGTCCAGGTAAGAATAAGTTTATATTTTATTTATAATAAAGCAAATTATAAAGGAAATACCTCCAATCTTCTTTTGTGAAATTCGAGCATGTGGTTCGATAAAATTTGAATTTGCCGCGACAATATAAACGAAATTAGAATGCTGATATAAATATATTTACAGTTTGTTGTCCAATTATCGGACAGTAAAGTGTTTTTCGGTTATAACTTACCGTTTAAAAGCTGTAGAAAGACGAAATTTCAGAATATGGCGGCCATTTACTTCTGTTTACCAGTCTTAAAACGAAGACCGCTGTACTTTTCTATTTCCGTTTAAAAAGCTAAAAATATCTGTCTTGTTTCGTGTCTACTTTTCGGACAGCTTGTCCACTATTCGGACGTTATAAAATGTGGTATTATGACTGTCAGGTAAGCCATTTTTTGCTAAATTGTTGATCATTAAATGCATATAACACAGATGAACACACTGGAAACTGTGTCAAGTTATTTTTATTACTAAAACAGATTTTTCCTGCATCTTTTCTATTGCATTCTTGATTCGCAATACAACCGCGTGCTGATTGTTCATCTCCTGTGCTGATATTTCATATTTGCAGGGTATGACAGCTCCTCCTCCAGTTGAATTAACTGGTGGCCATGGATGAAAGCTCTCGCATGGCTCCCCGGTCTGTTTACTAAAAGTGGTAGGATTTTGGGAGTTAATACTATTAATTGGAAAGAAATTGTATCTCACTAATTAAAGTACAAGAAATATTAGTACCCCCCCCCCTCTTGCTGGCTTGAAATTTAAAAAAACTAGTTAACTTGAAAAATAATTACCAGTCAATTGCAATGGTGTCAGAGGAACTTAATAGCTCTGAGAAGCACTTGGATAAACCCCAAGGTACTCGTCCAATGGGAAGGCCAGCTATTGTTTGAACAGTTTCACCCCGTTTTGCATCTGTAACTGTATACCAGACTGCTTCTGGTATAAAATGCAGCTCAGGCACCCACACTAAGCATGCGCTTGGATCATGCTTGTTGCCATATTCCTTTGTAACAGGAAGAGATAAATTGAGGGGAGGCCGAATCTGGAATACATGGTATCCTTTTATAACAGCATTTTCAATCACAATTTTAGCCATTCTATCTAGAAGGAAAATGTAAATTAAAGTACATAAGGATCCTTAATATATGCTGATATAATACCTGTAGTATTTTAACTGCCAGGCTAATGTCACCCCCTCCAGTATTAATTACTATGATGATAGTGTGGGAATGAAATACCTCTGTATGTAAAAGGATTGGAACAAGATGTGGTTTTTATTCGACTAGTTCAATCTATGTGCACAACAATTTGCTTAAATTACACAAGTATTTATATAATTATATATATTTATTCATATATGAAAGGGAGAAAGCATCACTGATTAAGCAACACAAACAATTATTATAGACAATTGTCTATAATATATAATAGTAGTTAAAGTCCGACATAGTCCAACAGTTATATATAAATTGTCAACTTGAATTCAATGTTGATAACATGTACATTAATTAATTTTAACAATTACTGTAGTAACATTATTCGTTAACACAGTCATGGCAAAGGAACTGTTCATCATCACTTATTCCTGTTACATCGATTCCAATTGGGATGCACTCAATATGCATCCAATTCTGACAATTGTCACACATCACCCATGGTAGATTTTCATCATCACTTTCTTCATACTGAACAAAACATATTTTGCAAGTATTTTCATCGATGTCAACCATGTCATTTGATCTTTGCCTTTTCTTCGGCTTTCCTTTTCTTGCTCTCCTGGCCTTCTTTTCCCCTTTCTCATTTTTCATTTTCTCTCTCTCTTTCTTCCTTGCCTCTCTCTCCTTTTCCCTTTCATTGTCATTTTTCTATTTTGCTTCTCTCTTTTCTTCTCTTTCTCGCAATCGCTTCTGTTTCTCAGCAAGTTCCCTGGCCTTTTTTAATTTCTGATCTTGTAAGATTTTCATTGAGCTTTCACTTGTCATAAAATTAGGGAGTTTCACTTTATTATTTTTAGGCTTGTTCGAGTTATCACTTGCTGATGGGTACACCAATATCTCACTGAGGACAGGTGAAACACGTTCTGATGACAACAGCTGACTTGAGGGGATGTTGATACTTAGTGGTGCTGTCAAGGGTGTGGTTGATGTTTCTTCTGGTGACAACGGTGAAGTGATGATATGTGGAAAATTATCATTTGATTGTAGAAGGTATAGTTTCTTCCGAGCACTAAACACTGGACTTCCTGGTAGGTCATAGCCCTCTTCCATCCTCTGTCTATATTTGTCACGTACCGGAATTTCAAGCGTGTTATCCAGTACACTAAATGCAGTTTGGGTAGAATTTGTTACAGTAGTGACACCAGGTACAGGGGAGGAGGGAGGAAATGTTCCTGAGGATTCTGCAGTTGAAATGTGTGCTGACACTGAACACGGTGCTGATTGAGAAGAACAAGGTTGTTCCAACAAAGAGGATGTGACTTGTGAAGAGGCTGTTGCTGTTGTAGAGTTTGCATAAACAAGGGACGGTTTTACTTGATCATCTGTAATCTGGGCTCTGTTAAGAGGGTATATGCCAGATTTCCGAAAAGCATCAATGAGTATTCCTGGTCGCATAACATCTTCCCATGTGGTCTTGAACACTGAGCAGAAGTTCTTCTTCGTGATGTCGGTGTTGGGGTTTTGCTGGCTGTAAATCCTGACTTGCTTATACCATGACTGTTTCATGGCTCCAAAGAGGCCGACGTCTGCAGGTTGCACCAGGTGAGTCGCATTCTTGAGGAGGGCAAATATCTCAATGCCATTTTTCTTAGCCATTTCGAAGGTGGCAAGATCAATGTGTGAATCATGGCTGTCAACAAGTAGAACAACTGGTCTGACAGGTGGTAGTTGGGGAATGAAATGGTTGGCAAGCCACATGTAGAATGCAGGTGTATCCATGTAGCCTTTCTCTGTGACAGAAAAAGCACTTCCTGGAACACCTCCTTCCAAAGGGTTGTATGTATTCGGGATCCTTTTTCCAGGTAGCAGTATGTAGGGTGGCATCCATTGCCCACATGCATTGAAACAAGGTAGCAAAGAGATATGTTCCTTTGTGCCAGTTATAACTTTATATGGTTTTTCCTTTGTAGATGCTGGACCAATAACCTTTCCAACTCTTCCCTGAAGATCAAAACCACTCTCGTCACAATTCCATATTTGAGCAGGGCGGTTGGCCAGGCCATTTTCATTAACAAACTTTTCATAGCAGGTAAACCATTGATCCACATCAGCAGCTGAGATCTTGGCACGTTTCTTTTCAAGTGGACGTGCATTCCTCAAACGAATGTTTTCATTCCTAGTCATGAAGCTCCGGTACCACCGGTTACCAGGTCTGTTATTAGTGAATGGCGTTCTTCTAGCAATGTCCAAAAATTCATCCTTTGTCAGCCCGAAACCTCGTTCTGCCATCTCTATCAGCCATTCTGCTATATGGGTCTCCTCTGCTTTGGTCAAGATGGGTGGTTGTCCTGATCTTCGATCATATTCAATCTTGCCACTGACTCGATCATGAAGTGTTGATTTTGGAACACCCCACTTATTCGCTGCTTCTCTTACAGATAACCCATTTTCACTGACATCTTTCATTGCATTGAGATATGTTTCAGACCTGTTGTGGATTGCCTGATTTTTGGAAGCCATACTCTACAATTTTCTGATAAATGGACAGGGAATTTTTATATTACCACTGCTAGTTTCTGAATTTCAATGTACAGAGTGCTTGAAAGTCAAGTAGAAATTATCACTGTGCTTTAATTGTAAATCCTTTGTGAAGCCACCTCCCATTTATGTTCTATCCTATTAGAAAAATATTACCGAGCCCCACTTCTGTAAACCCCATCCCCCTTTTAATACCAACAAATAATTCAGGGACACCAGAACTGGGGGGCAGCCACCCCCTTGCCCTTTACCAGAAGAGGAAGGGGGCAAAGGTGCCCTTTTAATTTAAAGGATTGCCTTGGCAAAATAGCTAGCGAATTGTCAGAAATTTTATATTAATTTGCATTTTAGATTCCTCAAAGACAAAGTTATAAAATTGTACACTCTACAAAACAGTTATATTGTCCTGAATTAATAGTAAATTAGCAAAAAGGACCAATAAACTGCCAAAACATAAATGGTGTGCTCATTTTTTTGTGTAAACAAAAGCTTGCAAATACATAGTAAATGAATAAAGGTAGCTGGATTATCAAAATTTTAGCTTGAATTATCTCGCTGTGTTAACTTTAAGTAAAAAATGCAATTTGGGATAATGTAATTTGTCTTGACGTTGTGACCTTCCATTTACTGTCCGAATAATGACCCAGCACGAAAAAATTACTTAAAATTTAAAAAATTCACTTTGTCTCGAAAATTTTAAAAAATGGCGCGAAATATTTTTGAGAACATAAAAAAGCTTTCTGGCTTTCTTTTAAATTCAAAACTGCCTCATTTTGAGTTTTGGTTTTGCAAAACTGACTTCCTCAAAAATACTGTTAATTCCTGTTCCTGTAAACTACGTACTTTTGAAATAAATTGACTTCACCTACCTTTTTCCAAAGTGTTCCGGTGTCCTCAAAAAAACAGCAAAAAGGCCAAAAATACAAATAACACTTCTTTCAAAATCGGGCTATCATCGGAAGCTATCGTTTTTAAAATTGTTGCTATTTCTCACGAAAAAATTATGCGTTAAAAACAAAGTGTCCGAATAGTGGTACTGTCCGATAATTGGACAACATACTGTATAGCGTTTATACTTCAACAAATGCTACTATAAAAGTTTTATATTTGAATCAGACTTATCCATGTTTGCTAATATATTTGTATATCCCAAGTGCCAACTGTATAGCCAGATTAATTGTAAATTGTCAGCCATATTTAATGCATGCCTATAGAAAATTTAACTACTTGCTCAAATCAACAGCAGTATTTATTCATATGTTTTGTTTAAATTAAACAATTTTCATTTTGAGAGGTCTTGCACCAGTCAATGTATTAAAATCTGTTAGCCTTTAGACATGCTTTAGTGTAATGCCAGGAAAATTATCCATGTTTTTCTATTAATTAAACATAACTATGTGATGGTATTCAAATTAACCAGACTCTGCTAGCTTACATTTCATGCTAACTTGTTAAGATGAATGTGCTCAACTTTCAGTACTTTTTTATTTTACCCTGTCTAACACCAGATCATTTTACTTGAAAGAGAGTGGACAACTTTGATAGGTTACCTTGCTGTCTCCCTGTGTTTTGTGTAAACTCATTAAGACCCAATTCACAAATTCACACTAATGTGCTCTATTTCAAAGCTCAATATTTTGCCCTGTTAATACCAGACTATTTTGCATTATTTGGTGTTAGCACATTTAGATGCAATTCACCCTAACACTCAATCCCCACTTTCAGTACTTTGATATTTATCAGATGATTTTACTAATCAAAATGAATGTTGGTCATTGAAAGGTTAATAATTAACTGCAAAAGCTGCTGTGTGGCATATTAAAGCCGCGTTCACACCAGCGGCCCAGGCCTGGCCTTGACCTGGGCCAATTGTGACGCATTCACACTGGCTTGACGCCCAACTCCAGGCCAAAGCAATTAGGCGTCAATATAAACGTCCTTGTGTTCCACTAAAGTATTTAATTTCCCGCTTTGAATGTTTTTCCCTCCAATTGTATGACAATCATCTGACCAGTTTTTATCGTGGGCAGATATTGTGATGGTAACGGGGTCTCGCCCAGGCCAGGCCCAAGAAAAACCCGTTCACACCAGTGATGATCGAGGCCCAGGCAAGGCCAGGTCCAGGCCACCTACATTTGCTGGCCTGGATTTCTTGACTTAGGCCAGGCCTAGGCCAGGCTCAGGCCAGGTAAAACCCGTTCACACCTAGACCCAGGCCAAGTCCAGGCCAGGCCTGGGCCGCTAGTGTGAACGCGGCTTTAGAAGCAATGTGCCCTACTTTTAGTACTTTGTTATTTTACTGTGTTTATTCTATTAAAGTGCTAGACTCTCCACTTAGAGTAAAATAATAAATTGGGTGCATTTGGGCATATTTAATGGTTAACAAAACACATTGGAATGGTATACATAAAATAAATGTATTTGTCTTTTTACAGCTATCAACAAAGTATGGATGTATGGCCTCAGAGGTTCGTCAACATATGAGGACAAATATAAACAACATGGGAAAGTGTTGCAAAGTACAGAAAAGCAAACAAGAACAAGAACTTATTTGAGGACTATGTTTTGAGGCCAGTTTTAAACTTAACTTTAAATGTCAATTATGGTTATTACCTATGGTTTAACCCATTAAGCGCCAGCGCTCTGACAAGTAAAATCGTCTGGCGTTAGAGAGAGTAAACTATAGTAAAATAATAAAAGTCAGGGCGCAATGTGATTCAATGGGTTAACTAGACACATATATAGGAATATAGGCTAGTTAACCCATTCGGAGCCAGCATTTCCCCTTGACTTTCAAGTACAATTGTCTGGAGTTAGACAGAGTAAAATAGTCTGGCATTAGACAAAGTAAAATAGTTAGACGGAGTAAAATAATAAAGTTGGACGCATCATATGGCATTGCATTGAGGTAGAACGATTAATTTGGCACAATAGGTGAAAACTATAATTGATTTGTAAAGTTTAGTATAACCAATTTCTCATATTAATTTTTATATTTGCAATATTAATTAGTATTTATTAATATTTATATCTATTTTTTGCATTAAAAAATTAAGAGTGATGAACAACATTGTCTGTCATTTACTATTATTTCATCTAGATTCTAGAATTTCTGCAGGAATAACAAAAATCTTATAGGAAATTAGAATAAATTATTTTCTTATAGGAAATTCCTATAATAATTTGGGACTAGACTTGAGAATTCTTATAGGAATTCTTCCTATTAAATTGTTATAGGAATTCCTGTAGAAAAAATTCCTATAGGAATTTTTCCTATAGGAATTCCTATAGGAAAAATTCCTATAGGAATTTTTCCTATAGGAATTCCTATAGGAAAAATTCCTATAGGAAAAATTCCTATAAGAATTTGGGACAAAATTCCTATAGAAATTTTTCCTATAGGAATTTTTCCTATAGGAATTCCTATAGGAATTCCTATAGGAAAAATTCCTATAGGAATTTTGTCCCAAATTCCTATAGGAATTTTTCCTATAGGAATTCCTATAGGAAATTTTCGTAAGGGAGTACAGCTAGCTATGCGACAGGTCAATAAACGAGAAAAAAAATTACGGCAAAGAGAAAAATTGAGAACTATCCGCATTCACTCTGAGATTCGAACTCACGACCCTCAGCCTACACGCTGAGTGTTGTTCCCCTGCGCCACCATGTCTTACACGGAAAATATGTTAATTTATTGTATATATACAGTAGGGGTGCACTGGATTTGGAATTTTCAAATCCGGCCGGAACCGGATTTACCGGATTTCGACAAAAGTTCCGGCAGGAATTCCGGCCGGATTTGAGATAAACCGGTAATGGGGACAATTGGGGATAATTCAGTAATCAAAATGACGGTTTATGTTTTTCACTATTTTTAGTTAGTGTGAGTTTAGATTTTTGATTGTGTTTAAACCTTTTTTAAACATCTTTTTGTTAATAACTTAATATTTTATAATAATATAAGGGTTTTTTAACTTTAAAGCTGCCAAATTGATGGTTTATCCCATTCTTGGTGAATTTTTTAAGGCGAAAACAGAAATTTAAATCCGGCCGGAATTCCGGCCGGATTTGAAATCCGGTGCACCCCTAATATACAGGTTATTCTTAGCCAGCGCGATTTATGATTGTGTAAATATGTGCACCATTGTACACGGCCAAGGGTACAGTACCAGCGGAGCCGTATCTACTCTTTAATACGATATTTACAATACATCACGGCATAGATCACAGCTACCAGCTGGGGTTATTTAACTGTAATACAATACTACAATGCAGTACGACTGTCAGCCAAGCCTGCAAGTAGTATACTATAGTATACTACAATACATCACGGCTACCAGCCGGCAATACGGCTATCAGCCGGGCATGTCTGCAGTATACTATACTATAGGACCTATAGTGTACTGCAAAACATCACAGCTACCTGCCGGGGTTATTTAACTCTAATACAATACTATAATGCAATACGACTGTCAGCCAAGCCTGCCTGTAGTATACTACAATACATCACGGCTACCAGCCGGCAATACGGCTATCAGCCGGGCGTGTCTGTAGTATACTATAGTATACTACAAAACATCACGGCTACCAGCCGGGGTTATTTAACTTTAATACAATGCTACAATGCAATACGAGTGTTAGCCAAGCCTGTCAGTAGTATACTGTAGTATACTCCAATACATCACGGCTACCAGCCGGCAATACGGCTATCAGGCGATCCTGTCTGTAGTATACTATAGTTATATACCGGCTACCAGCTGGGGTTATTTAACGGTAATAATAATATATTAATAATATATTATGTTATACTGTGATAATATATTATATTTTATTTATTTGCTATCACTCGCGTGCCTGTCTGTAGTATACTATAGACTATAGTATACTACAGACAGGCCCGGCTGATAGCCGTATTGCCGGCTGGTACCCGCAATGTATTGTAGTATACTATAGTATACTGCAGACAGGCCCAGCTGATAGCC